CTCTGTTTTTCAGTCGTTACTAAATCTTTCGTTTAAGCTCTTTACTACAACCCTTCACTCCCTTTTATAGTGCTGCTGCAAAGTGCAGTTGGCCACTTGTGTTGACAAAACAGTAATCTTAGATAAGACACCCATTCTCTGTAACATATTTGTGTTTAAAGAGTGACATGCAGTGAGCAGTAAAATAACACTGCATAGCTCAGAGTCAATGGGCCATGATAAAACCTACTCCTCCCCTTTTTTTCCCTTGTATGCCCTAACACGAAGGTGTAAATATTCATAGTGCTGTCATGCTTTTTTTTTTTTTTCTGATTAATTTGACAGTGAGTTTATTTAAATCAATAAAATGTGACTTTTTTTTATGACAGCAGGATATATCGATCAGTCACACATTAAAACCACTGACATGTTAAGTGAGTAACACTGATGATCGTGTTACAGTGCAATGTTCTGCTGGGAAACTTTGGGTCCTGGCATTTATGTGGATGTTACTTTGACAAGTACCACCCACCTAATGGCCAATTCTTGCTTTCTGCCGTGCACGCAGCTCTGGTCATACTACAATAGGCCAGCGTTAAGGCTAGAGATCTGGCGGGCATTCTCTGTTCAATTTGACGTGTATTGTGGGCATAGCAGTGCAAAGAAAATAGTTGTGTCGAGTGAAAGAAAGAGCACCCCAGCTGGCAGTTGGGACTGTGTCTGTGGCTGATTTAAATCATGATGGATGCTTTTTATGTGTCTGCTACATCAGCATTCAACCTGTCAATTATCTTGTAAACTTTTAGAGGAATAACGGTGCTGCTCACTTCAAGGAGAAAAGCTGGTGCTACACGGCAGGTTGCATTTCCCCTTACAGTGAGCACAGAAATACACACAATGGAAAAAGCAGCTGGTAAAAGATCACACTGTAGCACCATGTCAGTGATTATTTCTGAGGTGTACTTAGCATGGCGGGCAGATATGACACAGGATTTCTGGAGAAATTAGGATTTCCTGCTGTGTTTAGACTCTGTTGAAAATCTACAGTGAGCCTTTGACAATAGTTCATGTGATTTAACAGTGTATTCACATGAGATCCTTGTTCTTAGATCCCAGACTGTCATTGTGTGCAAACAGTGAGGCTGTCTGTTAAAACATGTTTTATTGCTCCTGAAGTTGGAGCAGTAGTCAGGTTATGTTGGATGTGAAAACTAAATGAAGCAGAAATATTAAACTCTCATCAAAAACACAACCTTATTTTCAATTTGTGCATTATGTCAATAAGTGCAGGCATGTTTTATACTTAAACCAAATGTTGCACATAATAGCAAACCTCATTTAAACTCTCAACAGCACAAACCTTAAGTTCCTTCTTCAGTAAAAATGTATAAAGATGTGCATTGCATAAGTAGAAATGTCAGTGTGTGCTAAGACACACAGGAAGTAACACTGAAGAGATTTTCTCACCAACACAAACAGGCCGTTGTTATGGTTAGAAAACCTCCCACACAGGTTGTGACGTTAATTGGTTCATGAATTAAATGGGTCAAATATTTAGGCTAGAGATCCGGCGGGCATTCTCCGTTTAAATTTGACATCTATTGTGGGCATACCTGTGCGAAGAAAATAGTAGTGTCAAGGGAAAGACAGAACACTCCAGCTGGCAGTTAGGGCTGCATCTGTGGCTGATTTACATCAAGGTGGATGTTTTTATGTGTCTGCTACATCAGCATTCGACCTGTCAATTATCTTGTAAACTTTTAGTAGAATAATAATGCTGCTCACTTCAAGGGGAAAAGCTGCTGGATCTCTCACCCCTGCTTCAAGCTGTTGTTTGGCTGTTAGTACCATGTCATCAAAAATTTTCAGGACCTTTGGTGAGATGTTTTTACCTGACTGAAGCTTGGTCATTATTCTCCTAATTCGTGGAAATTTTTATTCACATTTCCCTAATACTTGGTAGAAAATTGGGAGCTATTTTCTGCTTCTCCTGGCATGTGATCACATCATTTTAGAGCCCCCCGTAATGACCTCTTCTGCTCAACATTTTTTTTTTTGGGTGCAGTCATTAGCTAAAGTTGGGTAATTAGACAGGCAGACAAAAGTGATTTGGGCCATTTTGGGATACAGCTTGAAAAAAACTTGCCTGAGTGCTGCATCATTCTGAGTTTAGCTCAAGATGTATGAAAACAATGTCCCAGCTTTATATGTGTGGAAATGCATGTGACTAAAATGTCACAATAATAATAATAATAATATCACCTTACGTCACTGTTGTGTGTCGTTAATGGTGTGACTACGCTCCATTTTGCTGCTCTGGTGTATCACTTGTTAAGTACCAGTGAGGGCAGGGAAACCCTGTCAAGGGCAGGTGTTGTATTAGTTGGCTGGTGTGACTGAACCTCTAGTTGATAATCAAACAGCAGCAGGTGGTGTAATAACCTTTAATTTAATCTTTCTACAGCTTTCAAGTCTTGGCAGGGACACTATGGAGGCTTTTCTATTTGGATTCAAGCCATGGCATAAAATATGTATGTTAAGATGTTGTTGGTCTGCGTGCTACTTTGCTTACGTGCTGCACATGTTGTCAATGGCAGCATGTGTTGTTTTGCATGCAAATTGAAATGGAGTAGAAACCATGACCAACTCCCGAAGCATGTAAGATTTTCATGGAAGTCAAACCCCATTTGTGATGCTATTTATGGCTGACAACTCATAGCTATAGCCTGTCAACATGTATATATATCTCTATGCAAGTACAGATTAGTGGACTGAAGGGAAAAAAAATTGTGTTTTGATGATAGTGGTGAAGAGCGCTGTTCAACACATCGATCGAGAATCTCCCAAAGGTGTTAAATTGGGTTGAGATATGGTGACTTCAAAGCCCATAGCATGTCATTCAAATTACTTTCATGTTTTCTAAATCGTTCAGTGACCCCTCGTATACTATGGATGCTGGCATTGTCCTCCTGCAGAGACCACTCTCATCAAGTTAGGAATGTTTCATCATGGGATATAGGTGATCACTTGGAGCGAATTTGTATTGATTTGCGGGGACCCTTCCTTCTAAAGGCATGAGTGGACCCAAACCATGCCAACAGAAATATCCTCCACAGAATAACAGAGCCACCAGACCCCCCTTAATGCATGGGTTCATGTTTTTCCTTTAATTTGTCACCTGTCTGGAGTCTCTGTTGAGTTCGTTGGTGGTATAGTCTGCCATTCCCACACTGGATTCAGATTGCCTTCACATGCATGAGGGATTTCCAGGAAACAATGCAGCATGTAATCCAGTGTCATTTTATGTAACTGATAACAGCCTCACTCTCTTTACACTATATTGAAGCTGTTTGAAGTTGCGGCTGATGCAAACCCAACATCTCTTGCTGTGGCAGCTTCACTGGCAAAACACTCCAGAATTTAACAAAGGAACTACTGAAGGATTGTTTGCCCGAGTATTAAACTGCATTTAGTCTTACCAAGATACCCAGACGTGTAGCCAAATCAACCAGGACGGAAATCTTAAAGGATAATTCTGGTATTTCTGAACCAAGGCTCTGTTTTCCTATATTTTTGGAAAATAGAGCCTTTTATATCATTAAAAGAGACAAAAATACTTTGAGTAGGTTCACCATTTCCACAATATAATTTCACAGGGAATTTGTCTGTGTCAAAGTAAAGTGCTTTTTTTCCCCCCCAGCTGACAGGTTAAAATAGTTATTTTAAGTGTCTAATAGCATTGCGTATTGGATTCCCACAGACATAGACGTGTGTCTAGCATGTAACAGAAGTGTCGCTCACGGATAAGTCTCGTACAACACTTATTAAGTTAAAGCCAGCTGTCTCAGGAAAAGCGGAGTATTGTCAGAGTTGAAGTGCAGAAAACATAGCTTACTCTCACTGTATATATCCGAATTTTAAAAAGGAAATGATGATTCTGAATTTCTAAGTTGTGACAACAAAATGACCTTTCACACTTTGCAAAGCTTTCGCAGCCTCCTTTGGGACACAGGGACACACTGAAGTTGTGGCTAGTTTTGCTATAAATAGAACAAAACACTCCTGTCTGTACACAGCGCCTTACAGACCATTATGTTTGCGGTGAACATTTGACTACTACTAGCAAAAAAGGGGAAGAAACCATAAAGCAAAGCATTTCCCCCCCTAAGAAAAATGCTGTTCCAAGAGCAGAGATGTAATGCTATTTACTGAAGTCACAGTGTTGACTTGGGCTGCAAGGTGGATTGGTGGTTAGCACTTTGGCCTCGCAGCTAGAAGATCCCCGCTTAGGACGCCCGGGATCTTTCTGCATGGAGTTTGCATGTTCTCCCCGTGCAGCGTGGGTTCTCTCCGGGTTCTCCGACTTCCTCCCACAGTCCAAAAACATGTTGAGGTTAATTGGTGATTCTAAATTGTCTGTAGGTGTGAATGTGAGTGTGCTTGGTTGTCTGTCTCCAAGTGTAGCCCTGTGATAGACTGGCGACCTGTCCAGGGTGTCCCCTGCCTTCGCCCTGAGTCAGCTGGGATAGCCTCCTGTGATCCCAGTGAGGATTAGGCGGTGTATAGATAATGGAGATAATAATGGATGAATATTGTTGACTAATACAAGTAAAGGCATGTTAGGATAAGGTCATAAACATCCGGTCAAGCCAGTAGTACATACAAATGCTCCTTGGATTATATTATGTTAAGACATTCTTGCTCAACGTTGGACTGATTCCCAACATTTTTGTTCCAATGAATCATTTATACCTAAAAATATGAAAAAATATGTCCCAGGTTCAAGAATACCACAGTTAGCTTTAAGGATTACAACTTTCAGACTTAAAGCTCTATGTATATACCGAGTACATATTTTCCATAGTCGTACATATTTTTAGCAAGGTTTCTCTGGTGTCCTATCACATTTGGCCCTGCTCTGTAATGTTGCAATGAGGCCAGATTGATAACATTACAAACTGAGATGTTGTCTATTTGTACCTCATATCAAACCTCATGTATGTTGTCCTTGTCTCTCATAGACTCAGATGTTGCTGCCATGTGCCACACTGACACCCCAAGCAGACGAAAAACTGAGCTCACTGAAGACCTTTTAGCATCTTTCTGCCCCCTGATCGACGAAACTTACAGCGATTCTTCTCTGAGACTCCCAGAGGTCCACCCCTTCCACAGTGTGTCCATCCAGACGCTACTTCTATCTGGTTGCACCTTCCTCATTGTCTCACAGGACTGGCTATACTGTCAGTAAGGTAAGATCTAGTTTTATTATCTGGTTTGTGTTCTTTTTTGTTCTTTAGGTGGCGATGAGGCTGTGACTAGGTTTAATTGTATTTTGTTTTCTTCAAAGGTTCATTCACAAATGTCTACCTCACGATTAAAAGACCCCTCTCCAACACTGCGACCCTGAACAGGAAAAAAAAATGACCTCGAGCATTGACCGGTGAGTTAAACATTTAGCTTGTACGATGCAGAATGTCAAGAACCACTTCTTCTGCCTGTGCAACAGTCCAAATGAACCATGTATTTAATTCACTAGATGGAAGATTTATGAATAATTTATCACCAATCGATCAGTTGACTAATTGTTTCATCACAAAATAAGAGTCACTTGGGGGATGCCATGTCTGAGTTTGATGTGTTCACTTTTATTTTTACTGCTTTTACCTCAAAATAAAAACGTAGGTATAGGAGAAATGACTTATTAAATTGCTCACAAAAGTTCACTGGAGAGCGAATATTAGATGATCTGCTTCAACTGTTGGTTTGTTCCCTCTGCAGGGATGACAGCAGTATCTTTGATGGGTTAATGGAAGAAGATGAAAAGGACAAAGCGAAACGGTGAGATCCCTGTGGTTTGTTTTCAGATCAAAGGCATTCAATGAAGTTTAAAAAAGACAGCCTCTGATATAATACTACTTTAGTTCTTACAAGCCTTGGTTTGATGTATATATTTCTCGATTGTTAGAGCTTCACTGTGCAAGCAAACCGCCTTAAGTTCCTGTTTAAGATTGACATGACTTATTCGCCTAAATTCAACAACTTGGAGTACTTTTTCTTGAGTGTGCCTATCTTTTAATGTGACTGTATTATTGTATGTAATTCAGATTTGTGTCATGTTAAGAATGATACGGAAATGCTACCAGGTCTGACCGAGGAAGATGGCTTTACAAAAAAGTGACCAGGGGCCTATTTACACATGAGGCCAATATTTTTAAATACCACAAGTTTACCGGAAAGCAGTGCATGTCTGAATGGGGTTTATGTAATCAAAAGGAAATGTGGTGTTCTTTTATATTAACAGTGTGTCCCGTAACAAGTCTGAGAAGAAACGTAGGGACCAGTTCAATGTCCTCATCAAGGAGCTGGGTACCATGTTGCCGGGCAACACCCGGAAGATGGACAAGTCCACTATTTTGCAGAAAAGCATCGACTTTCTGCACAAACATAAAGGTAATAAACTCTCATGACAGCCAGAAATCTGCTTGGCATTGGGATTCGGGGAGTTGTGAACTATATATTTTATGTCTCCTCTATCAGAAATTGCTGCTAACTCAGAGTCAACTGAGATCAGACAAGACTGGAAGCCTCCTTTTCTTAGTAATGAAGAGTTCACTCAGCTGATGTTGGAGGTGAGACAGTTTTTTTTTTTTTTGTATTTGCTTTCCTTCTATTTACATGCCGAAATTTAAGTGAATTAAAAGAGAATATTTGTTTCCGTCAGGCGTTAGATGGATTTTTCCTTGCAATTATGACTGACGGGAATATAATCTATGTCTCTGAGAGCGTGACATCACTACTAGAGCACTTACCTGTGAGTATAAACTGTTCAAGTTATGAATTGAACATGTCAAAAACAACATCGATTGGTGTCAGTGGTTTGCTGCTGTACACATGCTCAAAGATAGTTTTCGTGTTTCAGTCTGACCTTCTGGATCAGAATCTGTTAAACTTCCTGCCTATGGGGGAGCAGTCAGATGTGTACAAGGCTCTGGCCTCTCACGTCATGGAAGGAGAGACGCTGACACCTGAGTATTTAAAAAGTAAGTGCCATTTTTTTTTTTTTTTTTTTTACATTTTCAGTTGTCGTTTTATATTGCTATGTTATTTTACATGTGTATTTAGTTATCATAAGTACTTCCTTCCTCAATTCTTTTTTTTCTTTTTCAGCAAAAAATCAGCTTGATCGTCGAAATGGAAGGAGAGACGCCGACAGTTTTTTATTTAAAATAAGTGCCATTTTTTTTTTTTTTTTTTTTTTACATTTTCAGTTGTCGTTTTATATTGCTATGTTATTTTACATGTGTATTTAGTTATCATAAGTACTTCCTTCCTCAATTCTTTTTTTTCTTTTTCAGCAAAAAATCAGCTTGAGTTCTGTTGCCACATGCTCCGAGGGACAATCGACCCCAAGGAGCCCCCCGTGTACGAGTATGTCAAGTTCATTGGAAATTTCAAGTCCCTGAATAATGGTGAGCTACATTACACAAAGTATGATGCTGGAGCTGAGTTTTTTTTGTGCGTGTGAAAGGTTCAAAGTTTTAATTTTTCTCTGGTTCCATTTTCCACCAGTGCCTAACTGTACCAGAAACGGTTTTGAAGGAGTGATCCAGCGATCGCTTCATTCTGCCTTTGAAGACAGAGTATGTCTCATAGCAACTGTAAGGCTAGCCAAACCACAGTTTATAAAGGTAAGAATCATTAGCTGTTCTGACACTTCTCCTTTTATCTGGTTCTTGCTTAAGGGTTTGAAAAAGGTAGCTTTAATTAGAGCACGGATCGGCAGTAATAGTTGCTCAGACACTTTAAGGCTAAAGCTATTTGGGCTCCTGTCAGCCATAATGTGAAGTCCCCAGTGGCCTCTATTGGCAACCACTTTTCAGCGGTTTAAAAACACTTCATCTGTTTGTACTTTGTAAAATCCTTCTTCCTGCTGAGTTAAAGGGCTACTGTTGGATTTACCTACTATGTGTTAAAGTTGTGAGTGTGAAATAAAAATGAAATGATAATCCATCATCATCATGGAACATTGCACAAGACAGTTATAGAGGAATTGAGACTTGACTGTAAGGAAAGCAGAAAGTTCATCAAAACTGGTAACGTGAATTTCTGTTTGACAAACAGGAGAGGATAGTTAAAATGTGACGTACAACAAAACAGCAGGACATATACACAACAATTAAGCTCATTTTGCTTCCTGCAGGTTTTACTCAGTGCTGTGTCAGATAAAAGCAAGGGAGCAAGAAATCCTCAACACTTGATGTCAATAAATTGTCTCAGAATTAAAAAAAATAAAATAAATTCATGGTTTTTGGAGATCAAAAAGAAAGTGATAGGAATATTGCAATAAACATTTGTAACTTTGAAACTGAGGTTTTGAAACAAAATTGTTAAAATTCATGGAAGCAACATATTGACTGAAATGAAAATGAAAAATGAAAAAATACTTTATTTATCCCAGAAGGGAAATTCAATCTTGTAAAAGCTCACTTTTTGTTTTTTTGTGTTTTTAAAAAAATCAATATAACATATATAAGTCGATAAAATTGTGTATAAATCGAGGGATATATTGAAGTTTAAGGCTTTCAATTTTTTTTTGCTGATTTATACTTTATTAAATGTCTTACAGTGTAAGGTTTTTGGGATTTCCCTTTAAAAATAAACAAAGTTGTCTTAATCAAAAGCAAGCCATACAAATATTTATTAATAGGGCTGGTTACTATAATTACAACAACTAATCTGTCCAGTCACTGCTTAATACATAGACACTTCATTTCGTTTTGTATAGTTTGTAGTTATTGTGTTATGTGTCATGACTGAAAAATATATATTGCATAATATAGATCTATCAGTCTAAATGCATTTTACTCTTCCCTCACAGGAGATGTGCACTGTAGAGGAGCCTAACGAGGAATTCACCTCTAGACATAGTTTAGAGTGGAAGTTTCTCTTCTTGGACCACAGGTAAGGTTTGTCCTTAATTTATCAAGAGCAGAAGTGAATTAAGTGTGTGTTCTTTGTACCTTAAAGATCTATTTTTGCTTTGCTGTCTCTCTAACCTGTTTGGTTATTTCAACTTCTCAAACTGTGTTGCAGAACTTCTTAAAAAGGATAACCTCAGTGTGTGTCCAGTTAGACTGCACTGTAGTTTGTTAGTGACTGTGAAAATAGATGTGACATTTAAATCTATTTGCTGATCATGAACTGGCAAAACAAATCTCTGATCTGCATGAGCAATGTAAACATAATTTTGTAACCGTGATGATACGTGTGCACATCAGCATGTGATTGCAGGCATTCTCTGATGAGCTGGAGGTGTGTTGAACTTAATGCATTGTTCCATTTCCCCATTAAATAGTGAATGAAACTCAGTGATCACACAGGAACTATTACCGTAATATAACTCGACAAAAGTGCTCTTTTTATTTTTTTCAAATTCTATTTCTGTCACTATTTATTACATATGCAATGCATTACGAATGCTTGTGGTAAACTATTTCTTTAAGGCAAGCTGTGATTCCAGAGAACATAATTTAACCTGCTAAGAACAATAAGAGCAGCCTGACATGCAGCCAGTCTCCATTTTTTTACCCTCATGGCTCCATGTCACGCCGATGATGTAGGATCACGTCACCAATACCGTCCAATCAAAGAATCAGTCTGACTTGCTGCTTGCTCCTTTTGTTTTTTTTTGTAATAAGCCAGTATGAACATCAACTAGACAGCAATAATGTATCTTGATTTTTTCTTCCCTTAAGGTAGACAAACAAATTGAACTACAGGTTTAACTCAGTGGTTCTCAAAGCAAACTTTAAGTCTGTGACCAGCAACTAGTAAAGACACTCTAGGACACATGGTAAAAACGTGTCACATCTTTGAAATCTCTCTAAGTGTGACAGTTTAGTGTGATTACCGATGCAAAAGGGATGAAAAACTCTTCTGGACTCATGGAAGGTTAAACTGTGGAATAGAGTACAGACAAGTCATCATGGCGTTATGGTTCCAATCGATGGGCTCAAATCACGTGGCTGTAAATGTTCCCAAATCCTATGATTGAAGGTGATTTTCAGAGCTTTGCAGCACAGAACTTCTGTCTCCATTTTGTAGAAGAAAGAGTAATTACAGAGACACTGTCAACACGTGCTTGTGAGCGTTGACTGTAGTGCTTCTTTCCTTTTTAGACTATAATCCTTTCTCTGAATGTCGAGTTTCTTTTTATCCGTAGCGTTAGAAACGTTTCTTGAGTGCACTTTGATTTTCAGCAATAGTCCTACTTCCTGCAGCCTTTTTCATTGCTGTGGCTGCTCTCCTCTTTAGCTCTGTCAAACCAGTCGTTGCTGGTTGATGTAAAACTCATTGCTACTGGTGCACCGGAGCAGAACTTGGCCACAGAAACTAGATTAAAAACTGTGGCATGCCATGAAATTCAGAGAGATTTACCTGCCACCTAATCAGCATGGCGTGAACTCATTTGGCTTGACTGTAATGGATGTTCATTTATATGTAAAAGTTCTACACACTATCTTCAAGCTGTGCTTTTGCCACTGGCTTGTGAAAAACACTTTTTCCTGTGAAAGCTCTGTGATAATTGGCCCCTAAATGACAGTATGTGATGATGTAATCACAGGGCATTATAAATCGTTTAACACAGAGCTGCACAATTAATGCAAGATTAATCACAAACACAATTTTGACATCCCACAGATAAACAAACTTGACCAACTGTGAAATTGATTTTTTTTTTTTTTTTAAATGCTCTACTCATAGAAAACAATCCATATAGATCCAATAAATGAAAAGTTTTGGGTACAACTTTATTTATATTTTGTCTCTTGGCGATGCGCTACATTCAGGTGAAGGAGACCCTTATTTTAAGTCTTATGTAGTTGCAAAGACTTGTACATTAACAGGAATGTAGCACAACATTAAAGTGAAAGCAGTGTTCTGTTTATTTAAGTGGGAGTGTAATAAAAAAATATTTTGTTCCTGAAATCAGTTAAACAGTCTTGATCTCCATGTCAATCAAAGCAGTTGTGATTGTCATATTGGACATGTTTGTGCAGCCCTACTGTCACATTACCCATTACCAGAAGATCTGCAGAATAACTTCCAGTGATTCATCTCAGTATTATTTACTGTGTTTTTCCAGAGCTCCACCTATCATTGGTTACCTCCCATTTGAGGTCCTGGGTACATCAGGGTATGACTACTACCATGTAGATGACTTGGAGACGTTGGCCAAATGCCACGAACACTGTGAGTACACTTCTGTCAGCCGTCAGTAAAGTGAGCTGATCTGTGGTTTTTATATTTTTCTTAAGCTTTGAAACAGTAAACAGCAGTTTCCTCTTTGCTTCTTTTCAGTAATGCAATATGGCAAGGGAAAGTCCTGCTACTACAGATTCCTCACCAAAGGGCAGCAGTGGATTTGGCTTCAAACTCATTACTACATCACCTATCACCAGTGGAACTCCAGACCAGAGTTTATTGTCTGCACACACACTGTTGTGAGGTACTTGGACGACGTACCCACTGACACTGAACATTCCTAGATGCACAAGTAGAGAAACACATCTGTTTGTGTTGTGATGCTTTCTGCATGTGTATTCCATTCACTGTCTTTGCTTCACAGTTACGCTGAAGTAAGAGCAGAGCAGCGCAGAGAGCTTGGCATTGAAGAATCACCGCCAGAGATCACAGCTGACAAGGTGAAACATTTGTCCAACACCTTTCTTAAAAATTAATTAAGAGATGAATGGAGTTGTAATGACCCGTGACAATGCTTTGTAACAGCAGTCCCAGGACTCGGGCTCTGAGTCCCAGCTCAACACTTCCAGCCTGAAGGAGGCTTTGGAGCGCTTTGACCACAGCCGGACTCCGTCTGCTTCATCTCGCAGCTCACGCAAATCTTCACACACTGCTGTGTCTGACCCAGCCTGTAAGCACCTTTATCAGTAACCTGTTCATTATCAAGCTGTTTGACACCCTCACAGCGGATCTCCATGACTGATATCACTTTATGTTCAGTGTGTTTTTGTTTTTGTTTTTTGTTTTTTTAAAGCTGATCATCGTGTTTATATTTTCCCTTCAGCGTCACAGATGAAGCTCCAGGGAGATAGGAGTACACCCGGCCGCCAGTCTGTCTCTGCGGTGGAGATGACATCACAACGAAGATCATCTATCAGCAGTCAGGTCAGTGAAAAGGCAAGAACACAGTCTGGTGTCAGATTTCTGCATAACGGTGTCCTGGATCATGAAAGATTTCCCGAGGACGTCATCCTTTTTTGTGGGTTTCTTTTGTGTACATTAGCAGTCGATGAGCTCCCAGAATACAGGGCAGAACATGGCACCTGCTATGGTTTCACAGCAGCAACAGCAGCAGCAACAGCAGCAGCAGCAGCAACAACAACAACAACAACAACAGCAGCAGCAGCAGCAGCAGCAGCAGCAACAGCCACAACAACAACAAGTTCAGACCAACAGCCAGGTACGATACTTATCTCATTTGTTTTAAAGCCTAATTCCTAAATGATGGCAGGTGCTCTACATACGTCGTGCACATTAAATCTTGCTGATTCGGTCGGTGGAGCTTCATCACTGGATTTATTTTTAATATGAGGGGTGATCAGAAAGTTCAGATGCTGTTCATGGTATGTGTGCAACATGTGTGAGCACTAACTGTCATGAGTCATGATACCACATGACACAGCACAATCAACAGCAGGGCCTGTATTAGACACCTTTTTGTGAGGAATAACCCATCTGTTAAAAACAAACAAACAAACAAAAAAAAACAACTCACTGGTGGTATTGAAAGGTAGGTCTGTGGCTACAACCGATAGAATAAAAAGCAGTTGTCACAGTGGAAGGATCAGACAAGGCCAGACGAGGTGCAGGGGCACACCAGGAGCATACTTGTTGTTTTCACCAGGATTTAGCCCCTCAGGGTTGGACTGTCAAGGCACAGCTCTACTGTAACATCCTGAGGTGTCTGAGGGAGGACATTTAAACTACCTGAGCTGTGGTGCGATGAAACAAGGATGCTTCAATCTGTCGTGCACCTGGTCACCGTGCAGTCATTATGCACTGTTTTGTTTTGGCCACTACAGCACCACCATTGCTCCTTACCCGCTAGATTTGTCTCTCAGTGACTTCTTCTTTCCCAAAATAAAATTCTACTTGAAGGGTCGCTGTTTTGACACAGTTTAGGAGATTCAGTGCTCATCACAGATGGTGCTTGACATGTTTATAGGACGGGACTTCCAGGGAGGGTTACAAGCATTGCAGTGGCACTACATCGCTGCACAAGGAGACTACTTTGAAGCAGATGGTGGCCAAATTTAATTCATACAGAGTTTTAGCTTTTTATAGGCAGAGTCTGGAAAGTTTTTGATAATCCCCTTTATAATTACACCGTGGTTTCTTAATAAAAAAAATGAGTAAAATTGTTTCACAAGTGGAATTGTACCACGACTTATTAAGTCAGCTAAGATAGTGTTTTTCTCCCCTGCCTAGTGGGTCACATATTTTACAATTACAGAGATGCTAACCCAGACATACCTGAACCACACTTTGATTCCATTACTAGGTAGAGCCGTTGGTGGCCAGTTTGAGGTTTGATCGTATTACAAAACTCCCCCTGTAGCTGTAAAAGTTGTTTGTTGGAAGCAGTGAAAAATAGGTGCACATGAACATTTTCATATCAGCTCTGCCGTATGTAAAAAGTAATTTGTTACAGGCAAATGGGGCCCAGTGAAAATCATTAATGACTTTTTAATACATATGTGGTTAATTAAAACAAATCATATCAACAGCCACAGCCACATGTTAGGATAAATTGCTGATAGATATAGACATACATAAATGCACCACTTTGTCACTTTCTACTATGTTGACATCTTTTTCTTCTTTGTCAGTCGATGGTGCAGTTCTCCAGCCAGTTAGAAGCCATGCAGCACCTGAAAGAGCAGCTGGAGCAAAGAACCAGAATGATCGAGGCCAACATTCAGAGGCAGCAAGACGAACTGCGGCAGATCCAGGAGGAGCTGCAGAGGGTGCAGGGACAGAGTCTACAGGTGGGACTGAAGAGCTGCTCAGGATCCAGTGACTACATAGTCTGCTTTGCTTTTCTGGATTGTTTTTGTTTTATTTATGGTTGTAATTACTGTTATAATTGGAGTTAGAGCCTGAATCTGTGATGCGTGTCTCAGATGTTCCTGCAGAAAGGAGCTGGTGGACTAAATCTCAACTCTGTTCAGATGGCCCAGGGGACTGCTGTGCAGCAGGGGGGCACACTCAGCATGCAGGGCCAGGTGGTCTCTGCAGGGCCTCTACAGAACAGCATCCAGCAACAACATGCTGTCCAGCCCCAATCCCAGCAGCAAACAGCACTGTCACAGGTCAGACAACCTAGACGACACCTAACACAGCCTCTCACTGGCACACTTTATTCTTACATTTTTCTGTCCTGTTCTGCTGTAGCTCATGTCTCATGATTCCGGATTTGTGTATTTCAGTCTCAGCGGTCGTCTCTCACGCTGCAGCCTCAACAAAATCAACTGCCTGCATCTCTCTACAACACAATGATGATCCCTCAGCAAAGCCCTGCAAACGTGGTTCAGATTGCCACAAGCCTGGCACAGAATACTGGACCCAACACTCCTGCTGTGGCAACATTTGCACAGGACCGTTCGGCTCAGATTAGGTTTGAATCTTCGTTTAAATCTACGTCCTTTTACACAAATGTGGTATCAAGTAGAGTTCACTGATTGCACCATTCTGCCAACCACTTTAATTTGAGCACAAGTGTTGCTACAATACGGTTTCATATGCAAAAGAAATCATGACCCACATTCTGTCTCCTACAGGTTTCCCGCCGGTCCTCAGCTGCTCACCAAGCTAGTGACAGGACAGATGGCATGTGGGGCCGTCATGGTTCCCACAACCATGTTTATGGGCCAAGTGGTGACGGCCTTCGCTCCTCAGCAGGGCCAGACACAGACTATCAGCATTGCCCAACAGCCACCACCACAGCAGCAGCAGCAGCAACAGCAGCAGCAGGAGCAGCAGGTACAGCAGCAGTCGCAGGTCACAGCCATGCAGCCAGGACAGGCGCCACTGAACCAGCAGCAGACGCAGTTCCTACAGGTAACACTGAAACGGTGACACTTTCTTGACAGTGTTTCTGTACAAAATAAGCTCATGTTTCTGAACTGAAGTAGTGGCAGCTTGCTGTTGAGGTGACAACTTAAAATTTGCTTGTAAACTTCAGTTCAAATACATTTAAGGACGAATGTACTCACAGAATGTCTACGTCAGTTTCCTTCAGTAAAATGGAGATATGCCTGTGATGTCACTGCACATGGAAAACAGCACTTCTGCTCTGCAGTTGAATGACAATTGTACAACTATCTGTGAAAGGGCTACAGAACTACAGACAAAAAGAAGAATAAATTGTGATTTCCTTTGTTACCTTATCAGCTACCTCAGCAGTTGGTGATTGACTTAAAATCTAAATATTTTTGCAGACATGTTCACAGAGGTGGAGAAAGTCATTTGTAAGACCTTGTGGTTTTAATTAGAATACAATGAAGAACATTCAAGCTTTGTTTAGTGGAATGTAAGTGGAACAGAATTTCTGGCTGCAGTTCAACTTCTTCAGACTACTGACTGTCCAGAATGTCATACAGATGCTGCAGCCTGACCATTACTAGGTTTTAGAGAAACTGATATAGACGTTTGTGAGTTTTTAAAAAGCCCACAACAATTTGTCAGCCGATTTATTTATTTATTTTTGGCAATTTTGATACAAAACCTTTATTTATTTTTTTCAAATCAGCTGAAAAATCAACTTGTCTAGTGCTGTCTTGAGGATAAACTAAGTGCTGGTGAGATTGTAAACTTAAACCTGACTTGAATTTTCTTGTTAGTTTGGCCAGTTTGCACGCAAACAGATGTCATTGTGATAAGCTGATTTGCTGTTCTAACTCCAGTCTGACTCATGAAATGTAGACTTTTGGTAGAAGTTTCCCTTTTCCAGCGTACATTTCACATAGATTTCTCCTCCCCTTCAGCTATTTTCCGCTACTACAATTTTCAAATCACTTTAGCTATGACAAACAACAACAACAACAACAGCCTCTAAGCAGCGACTTACATGCTGAAAATGGCAGGCTACACAGCTGATTTGGATCATAAAGGGCAGGCATGCTTGAAATTAGCTACCCTAATGAAATCGTCATCGTTTTTGCAGTGGCACTGTCACTACATCTGGGCTTTGCACCATCCAAAACAACTTCATTGAAAGAAATATAAACAATCCCAAGCTTTTTTCTCTCTATAGCAGAATGGTGATGAGGTGCAGTCAGACCATTCTTGAGCAAGCACTGATACAACACTATAGAGATAAGTTGCACTGTGTAAGACTGGTCTGGCTCTAATGGATGGTTTGCTGTCAAGACATTTGTTTGTCTTTTCTTGTTTTGTATCTGCTCTCAGATGTACGTCGCTGTGGATAAAAGTGTCTGCTAAATGAAATTATAGAATTGTTTGTGTGCTTCGCAATATCAGTGGTTGTGAGAGAGGTGTCCTCTTGCTTTACAGTGAATCCATTCATAGACTGAATGTACATGGTGGATGTAGTCACAGTGATGTCACCCAGTTTGACATTTAATCCTCATCATCTTGCTCTTTTCTGACTGAGAACCCGAGGACAAGACAGCCCCACTTGAAAACAGAACCTCCCTTGGTTGACTTTTTTACTCTAAAAGGAACTGTCATTTACTAAATGAACACCATGCTGCATTGAAGAAGACTTGAAACTAGTGATTGAAACTCATGAGGACAATGTCCACAAGGTAACAGGCCAAGTTAGATGTAAGGTCACTTCTATGTTCAGCTGAACTTCTTTTTGCAACCAGAACAGTTGCCCCCTGCTGGCTGTTAGAAACAATGCAGGTTTAAGGCACTTCTGCATTGGCTTCACTTTTCAGACCCTACAGGGGCTATGTCTATCTTTTACATACAGTCTGTGATCAAATTTCAGCTATTTCTATCCAGCTAATCTATATTTTTTATTTAAGGCTCCTCGGCTCCTTCATGGAAACCAATCCACCCAGTTGATCCTGCAAGCGGCATTCCCTTTGCAGCAGCAGGGTACCTTCACTGCTGCAGCCCAGCAGCAGCAACAACAGCTCCAGCAGCAACAACAGTTACAACAACAGCAGCAGAAGCAGTTACAACAGCAGAAGCAACAGCTTCAGCAGCAGCAGCAGCAGCAACAGCAACAGCTGGCACCTCACAGAGCAGATAGTTTGTCCGACCGCCCTGCTGCGCAGCCACAGTAGCTGGCTGAAGTGGAGTTAGCCACACGGATGTCTTTGTGACAGGAGTCTAAGGAGGAGTTCTGCTGAAAGCGCAGCACTGGGACCGTGCCTCAGAGGCTGAGAGGTGATTGGATGGGCAGGCCGTGCTTCCCTTCCCTCACAAGGATCTTTTGCTGTTTGCACTTAACTCCTGAGCAGCAGAGAACCCAGGACTGGGCTCGCTGTGGCTCTGGCAGCAGGTTTGGCTCAAAGCCTTCCCTCCAAGAAAACAGGGAGCCACAATCCCCATAATGGACTCCCCATCACTCCTCCCCAGCCCTCGAAAAGTGTCTGTATGTGTGTGTGTGTGTACGTATACGTGTACGTGTGTGTGTGTGTGTGCTTGTGTACGTGTGTGTACGCACGCCCACGTGCGTGTGTGCGTGTGTGCGTGTGTGCGCGCTAGTCACCCTCACAGGATTATTTCATGCAGAATTCTCCAGTCAAAGCAGTGAGGATTCTATCTTCACTTCAAGGACGTCCTGCAGAGCAGCCAGAGGATTGTTCGTTTTGGATGTTTTCTCCTATTCTTGTTTTTCATGTAAAAATAATTATGGGTCAGAAAATATTTTTAAGAATGTGGTGTAGATTGAACTTTTACTGTACAGAATATCGTGTAATATATAATGTAAATATATTGAAAAAGAAAGAACTAATATTTTATATGATGCATGAAATGAAATGCATAGTCTGTTATTTGCAGCTTTGAATATGCTTTTTTTCTTGTACTCTAAGAAAAAAAGATCTTAAAATGCTCAGTGGCTGATATTTTCACACACTTCCTTTCTCCCAGGGGATGTGTTTGTTTGTGTGTCTGCATAGCAGACAATGCCGATGCTGTTTGTTGTGTCACAGTTTGTTTAATCCTTGACTCATATTTTCACAGTTTCCTAAAACTGTCAAAATGATAAGCAAATGTTTTAAAGTATTTTTAAGGTTTTTTAGATGTGCTTAAAATGCAAACACTCAAGACTCTAAATTCATAGTGAGTCGGATATTGTGTATGCAATGGAAACTACCAAGGTTAGGAGAAATGTATGCAACAGTACGATTTGCCCGCATAATCCTTCATATCGTTCTTTCTTCTTTTTTTTTTTTATCACTAGATCCCTCCATTTCAGAGCCATCCATAAAGCCTGTATGGCACCTAAAGATGCTTTATTCCACCTACAAACATTTATCCTTTAAATTATGTTGAAATATTAAAATATATAAAATCAGACATGTTGCTAAGGAAGATTCTTTCCTCATTGGCATGCTGATCATCCATCCAGTCTTTAGCCACTTATTTGGGTCAACACAGCACGCAGAACACCAAACGTCTTAACGAGTTCACCAAACTATCTCAACACAGAGATCTCCTCTTCGCCGTTTGTGAGCTTGTGTTAACAGACAGAAAGAAGCCACTCGTTTCCTTACAACTGCAAATTCCATCTTGTAGCTATGAGTCAGTGCTGAGTGATCTGTGAGTTTGTCTTGTGTGAACTTTCCGTCACGTCACTCCTTCATACAAGCAGCTACATTACAGCGATGGTTCACTGCATCTTCACTCACTAAAAGCTGCACTAATGGAATTTTTGGGCCACTTGGTTGCAGTGAGACTGGTATACCATCACGTTTAAAATCCCTGTAACAAACTAATGTGCAAACAGCAACATTAGCATTTGTTAGTAGTCTGTATGTGTGTGTACACCTGAAAATGACTCTTCAGCTGCTCAGTGCTCCACTGTGTTCAGCAGCTGAATGCCAGCTTCGCCTTTCTGCTGATTGATGCTGGGCAGGTAGTGCACAATAGTTTTTTGGGGGGGACTGACTGCATCCAAAAACAGTTTCTGCTGCCAGAAAACCAAATGACTGAGCTAAAAGATGCTAAAAAAAAAAAAAATTTAAAAAGAGAAATGCATAGTCAACAGTCAATGCCATTTCAGATACAAGCAGTTATGTGAACTGTTATTATTATTTTTTAAAGTTGATGATTGGGATAAGATTATTGCAGGACACAAATATAAAATGTTAATATAAAGCCAAATCCACCCCCCCTAAAACCCATAAAGACAGCCTTTAACATTTCCAGGATCCTTTAAAGCTGCAGGAGTCAGAAATCTGGAAAAACAGCTTCATTCATTTCTGCCTTTAAATGGGCATCAAACTTTACTCTTCTGAGTGAAAGTTGTTTCTGTTCCTGTTCCCACCACAGACTTATTTGCTCTTTATACTCTGATGTGGGTAAAAGCTCTGATGTTTGAGAAGATGAGGTGCAGAAATCCAGTTTTCACTCAGACTGCCTGAATTAGAATATACTGAACAGTTATCATAGAACGTGACACCAGATTTATTAATACGGGCTACCCCTGCTTTATCTGCTAGATGGTTAAAATAAAGTTTAGAAATCACTACTGAATCCACCCTGAAGTAGAGCTATGTGGTGGTTTTTCATTATTTAGGACACTCCTGTCACAATTCAAACCGAGGACGACACTGGGGGGATCAGAGTGTCGCTGCAGACCGAGCTCCCCAGTCGACCTACACATTCTGGCTCTGTAGGTTTGCCTGACGTCCTACTCACCATCTGATCGAATTCACAGCCAGATGGTATCGAGCTGACAGCTCAGCCTCTTCTTCATCTGTGTGAAGCGATGGGCTGAGCTCAACACATGGCCACAAAGTCACTCTTTGACTTTTGGTCCAAAATGTCTTAAAGCGTTTTTCTGTTCGTGTCCGTGATTGCAAAGTCCCGTAAAGTCCTTATAACATGAGTATACTTAAGTCTGATTTTTGTGCCATATCGTGTTGAATTTAGTCTCTTTTCTTCCAGTAAAATTGTGACAGACTGAGTTTTACTAAATAAACCAGGTCTGACTTAACACCTTCAATCACTGGAAAATGAAAACATTATTCGTCTTCTGTGCAAAATTTATAGACGTCATGCTTGATTCAGTCCAAGCTTTGAGCAGCAGCAGAGAACCCTCGCTTTCTGTTTAGTGCTTTGGGATGTTGTGTACACAGTTTGGCACCGACAGACAGAAGAAATCACATCCAACAGCTACTGTTTCTACTGCGCTAAAACTAACTTTGCTTGTATGACGCTTCACTTTGGCTCCTGTTTGTTGTTGTTGTTGTTGTTGTTGCCTGTTTCAGATGTTTAGCAGACTTAATTGGGTGACTGCTCCCGATATGTATTACCTGAACATTTCAAATTTTATCCAATGATACAAACCTACCTGGAGTGTTTGGTTCATCCGCCCACAGTATAAGTCACATGCTACCACCAGCATCACTTGAATAATGTATGTTCAGTACTGCTCATTCATTCATTCATTCATTCATTCATTCATTCATTCATTCATTCATGACAATTTAAATAAGGGACCATATGAAAATTATCAGGATGAAGGCGATGTGAACCTTATGTTTGATTATTGACACTTGATTTTATATTGACTGTCCTGTTGACCTCCCCTGTTTCTGTACTTAAACCTGATTTTAAGCTGATAAAAATCACAATGGAGCAATAACTTTTTTTTTCACAGCGCCTATATCAAATGTTTTACATCAGTTAATAGCCTAAATCTGTTATTTGCTTAAAGAGATCTAGTAGTTTTGGGAGATTTTACAGTTTGCCCCCACTTTCCCAGTGTCAGGAACTAATAAATACCTTGGCACAGAAATGCATTTTAAGTCCAAATGTTACGTCAGACGGTAATATTATGCTATCTTGGTTCAAGTGTCGAGTGTCAGTTACATTAAAAAAAACGGAATAATAATCCAGAAATTGAGTAAACTGAAGGTCGGGATGGTTTTGTCAGAACAGACTTAAACCCTGATCCATATGATACATTTAAAGGAAGTGTATTACCAAAAATGGAATGTAGTTTTTAATGTTTTCATTCCTGCATAATCACCTGTAGCTATGAATCAGAACCCTTTATGTCTATGTAGAGAGCAGGTCCTCCACCATTTCTCTACAAGAGGCCGAACAGATATTTAGAACTGATACACATTTGCAGTACTTTTGATGTCAACATTTGGAAACCTACAAAGTCCAATACAGACGTTGCTGAATGCCTTTATCGCTTAATTCAAAGAAAACTTTTTGAACTTTTATCCTTTAGCGTTTATAGGCTGCTACTTGTGGAGATTACAGAGCGACAGTCGCACATCTTAAAACTGATTTATCAGAAATGCATCTTTAAAAAATAATACATATACAAATTATCAGAAAAATACCATTTATGGGATGTAACTGTCGGCCTCTAGTTTCTACAGTGGCCTGGAACAGACGGACCAAATGCTGCTCCAGTAAGGCCCTTTTTCATTTTGATGTGAAAGTTGCAGCCGCTGTAGGTTCTCCTGCAGGCTTGGAAAGGGCGAGATTATGGAGGTGGTTACAGTCTGCAGCCTCGCCACTAAGTTCTACACACTGGTTCTTTTATTGGGCCATAAATCACATTGAACCATTGGGTATGCACCTTTATGAGTGATCCACATTTTAGTAACACAACAAATCATTAATTCTCTCACCTTCCCTTCAGCATAAAGAAAAAAAAGAAGTTACCCCCCTCCTTCCTCTGATGCCATTATTCATTTCCACACAGTCCCTAATCCCCGATCTCGCTTCTGTTTTGTTTCTGTGCTGCAGAGAGTATGGGTAGACCTCAGAGTCTCCTCTCCCGTCCTGTTTTTTTTAAAAAATCAGCAACACATATCAGTATTTAACTAAGACAGCAGTTCTCTCCCATCATTTACAAACCCTGCAGAGTAGACCTGGTCGTGTGCTGCATGCAAGCAGCACTGTGGAGGTGCAATATACCTAGAAGAATGTAGTAAATATCACTAGAACCGGATTATTTTTGCATGAAGAGGTCTGTGGGAGACTTTGCACAATGTATGATAAGAAAAACAGTAAATAAGAGAACTTAAATATTTTTCTATTGCTGGTATAAAACTCATGGAGGTAGAATTCTATAATTAAATATATATATAAATGAAATCAAATACATTAACAGCACTGCTTTGAAATCAATCTAAAAAGCTCCAAATCAATGTTTAATCGACGTATGAAGGATCTAAACTAACTGTGACAAACACACAAAGCCCCTCAGAAAGAGCTGGTTACGAATGAGTCTGTGGTTATGCAAAGACTTGGTATCAATTGTTTTTTTCTTGTTGTTGTTTTTTTTTTTTTTACAAGCTTTGATTCAGTGTCAGTATTGAATCTCTACCTGCCAGTCAAGCTGTTTTCCTTCATGCTGGAAATTGACATTTTAAAAGACAACATGATGTTCAATTTTGTTTTTTTTTAAATATACAATGTTTTCAAGGGCAACTCTGGCTTTTAAAGTTATTAGCTGGCCATTACCAAGTCTCAAAAGAAAAAACAAAAAACAGGAGGGAACATATTTTGTTATCCAAAGAGAGGGAAACTCCAGGAAGTGAGCCCGAAATGAAAAGACACAGTGCATTATGTTAAATGTTGTGTAGTTCTGATGTACACACTAGAAACTCTGAATGTCTATCAGTGTTCTCTCTTCGCTTTCAGTTCATATTTGTGTGGCTTTTTCTTTTCTTTTTTTTTTCTTTTGGTTTGTTTGGCTCATGAAATTTACTGCCGCAGCACCCTCAATGGTGTAAAAAAAAAAAAAAAAAGACACGGTGGTAACAGCCCAGTCAGTGATCGGAGCAGGAGTTTGGCTTTTCAGCACCTGCTATGACAACACTGATTCAGGTTTGGCCACAAGCGTGTGACTCAGCTCAAATAGCACAGTTGGGTTTGGTTCGAAATGTCCATTTTCTAATAAGGCGCCTTTTATACAGGGTTTTAAATGTCTTTGTGAGCGGTTAATAAGTCCATTACTGCGTCATTTCTAGAAAACTTCTACAGATCCGTCGTGCAGCTGCAGCTATGTTGGAATAAAACATTTTATTGTTGACTTTTTAACATTTATAAACTTGATGGAAGCTAAAAAACTAATTCACGGATTGCCAAAATTTATAACTGCAGTATTAAAATCAAAAAACATAGAACATCCCCTTTTCACAGCTTAGCACCTGTGATATATCATATATATTATAGGTGGACTGCAGCTAGCAGCTTTTTTTTCTTTGTGTTTTAATCAGTTGGGCTTTTAAATGTCAAAAAATAGTGAAGAAATGTCCATCGCCATTTGGAGAAGTCTTGTTTTGTTAACCAACAGTACAAAAACCAGTGATATTCAACTTACAGTGAGAGCCTGGAGTAACAAGCTATTTGGCGTTTCCACTTTAGAGTGACTTTTTGATTTGGAATTGATACAATAATCCATGAGTGTAGATTTATTTCTGGAATAGTGAGAGGAACATTGCATTTTGGTAAATCTTTATGCACCACTTAAAGGTGGAAATGATTTTTTGTCTTTAAATGTAAATATAAAATGTGGTTGCCAAGCCACAATTCTAAATGTAATGTAATATATGTGGATCTAATCGCATTTCCACACCAGTCAGTGGTTAAATGAGCTCATAATACGACGTTTTTGGAACAAGATTCCTTTTAAAAAGTCACTCATTACAATTTAACTCCAAATTTGTATTGCCATTTTTTTTTTTTTTTGCAGCATTGTAATGTAAAATTGTAATTTCTGCTCCATAAGCTCGACTACAGATGAACCCCTACAGTATTCAACCCTTCAGTTCATATTTTCCTACTAGAAATACACAGAAACTGGAGATTTGTATCTTTCAGCACCCACTGCTGCCACCTGCTGTTCAGTTTTAGGTCAAACATTAACTTTTTAAAGCAGAAATCAGCTATAAATCATACATCCCAGGACATTTTGTAGGCCCATACGTGTGTTTTTATGTGTTTGCACTTTTTTATTACACTCTATGAATTATGAAAACGCTTAAGGTGCCTGCAAAATCTGTGCTGCCTTGCATTTATTTCTTGAGCCAAAACCACTCATAAATTTAAACACGACATAACCTTTGAAGGCAAACGCATCAATCGTTTGCTCCCCTTAAATTAAAAAAAAGAATAAAACCGTATGAAATGACTCTGGTGTTCTGTTTCCTTTACTTCCCAGGATGCGTCCCGTTCAGCTCAAACACAGCAAACACAACTTTTGGATTTAGAAATCAGACGACACGTGAAACAGTTTTTTTTTTTATTGAGCATTTTAGATTTATAGGCATTTCAACCAATCTGTATGACAAACAGAAATATTTCACAGCCGGGCACAGCCTGTCAAATATTGACAACGCAGCTTTTCGCCTTTTAAAAAAATAGTTCCATTCCTTCTTTACAGTGACATCTCCCACAGTACGTACGCCTAAAAGGAAAGAAAATGAAGCTAAATAAATAGATACCGCTTAAATAAAAGGTGTAATGCAGGTTTCTGAATTACGCCGCTGTGTTGTCTCTGCAGGTGCATCACAGCTTAAAGGAGTGGCTTCTACTGTGTACTTGGAGATTTATTCTGTACCTGTCATGCTTTTAAATTCTGTCAGTATGTGTGATTCGGGGCAGCAACGTGTGAGGCAGTGAGGTTTACGCTGGAAATCACAGAAGAAGAGTCAACCTGCGAAGATGATTACTGGCCTTTCTTCGACCTGATCCGTGCATTTTTTATTTTTTTTTTGCTCTCCCCGCTTTCGGCACCTGAAACCGGCGTGAGGACGTACGACGTCGACGATCAACAAACATTATCACTGGTAGAGGCCCACGTAAGCTATGAGTAAGCTGTAGAGCAGCTCTCCTGATGCAGGGATATCAAGGTATAGTGACACAGAAGTACTCTAGTGGTTCAGGAGCTGGTTTCAGAAAGAAAGTTTCGACTGATGTACATTGTCAGACTAAAATGAGTTTAAAGCCAGGCTCACGCTGCAGGTGTTCTAACATCATTTAACACAGATTTTAAGATTGAGTTGCATCCTGCACATAAAGAAAAACTTCACATTCTTTTCTCTAATTTTTTGCCATGCACACACTAGAAGACTAGAAAATAATGGAGCACCACACAACAGGATATTTTACAAATACTGTGCCACAGGGAGCAGTCAGGGAGCAGCGCACCACCTCATGGGGAAGCAGATGTAAATAAAATGGAGTTTGCATTGCAACAACTTCCTGTAATGCTAATAATACTTTGCAGTGAAAAAAAAAAACACAAGCAGAAGGCTAAACAAGTTTCATGACTCGGGGGGATGCGGTCAACAATTTGTTGATTCTTCATCGAGAACTGGAAGTGAGATTTCAGTGTTATCTGTAGCTAACGTTAGCCTCGAGGGCTAGAACGGTTTGTGTTGTTTGACAACTGCTGCTCCGGGCGCGAGTTAGATAATTCTACCCATTCAGATTTGATGTTATCTCAGCAGGCCCGACGAGTGTGTGGGTAGTTTGAGAAGTTGAGCGATTAAGAACTCCACATAACCAAATAACTTGTGTGTTTCAAACCAAGACCCCAGATTTCTTCTCCTGTTGGGAGAGGGGTGAAACGAGAGTGAATCAATCCAACACTCACGTAGTGTGAGCCCGGCTTAAGGCAAGTTAGATCATTTTACAAAAATAAATACTGATTATTCAGCCTAAAAAATCGTAGCTACCCTACTCCCAGGATTTAAAAAAAAAGGAGGAAAACGTGCATAATATGCAGTTTGCTGATAACATTGCATAGCCAGCAACCAGAAAGAGAAGAGTTGTTTTAAAAAAATCACAATAACCTGCTAAAAGCTGGTTGGAATTTTTCTGCAAATTATTTAATTGAATTTATGTATTTTGTGTGTACTGTTGCATTCTTAGCTGAATTTTCCTTTTTTGTAACTGTTCTTTAAGAAGCGAAAGCTGTCAGAGCAAAGGCGGGTAGGTAGTGTGATGTGGTTGTTCAGTCAGCCATGTTTTGTAGTTTGCAGAAAGCATGTAGCTCTCAAGTGTAACTATTAGTTATTGGTCAGATCTAAACCTCAGTCAAAGTCTTTCTTTGTGAAGCCAGCCCCAGGTCTCTCTGAAAGACTGCTCCCATGTGAAACTAAAGGAAATATTTTCATGCCGTCTTGTGCCTGAAATAAAATCTCAACTTAAAATCAAACAATCACACAAAAAAAAGGTTCTATATTATGTGCTGCTGGTTCTGCTTTCAGTATTTTCCCTCCTAAGTAAAGTCGACCCACTTCTTATGAGGTTTTAACGCACAAACAGCGGCACTCAGAGGAAGGTGGAAACGACACCAGCCTCGACTGCTGGAGGGTTCTGACAGCTCCGTCTATCAACAGCTCCGTGTCAACAGTCACCTGACAGCATCGGGGCTCACGTTAAAGACACAAAAAATTTAAACATTAAACATTTAAAAACAAAACAAAAAAGGCCAAAAAAAAGAGATTTAGAAATGAACTTGGTGCCTAGCTGTAGAGTGAAAGGAAAAGTACTGCATGTCAGGTCCAGTTTCTGAACCATGGAACCTTGTGGAGTGTGAGAGGACTGCAACCAGTAACAATTCAGTCTCGTTTCTCTCACGCTCCTTGTGAAGAGAAAGCAGCTCTGATGGAGAGAGTCCTGCCTCCTCTCCTGGCCGGCACCTGTTCCACAACTCTGTAATGCATTGAGAGGTTTCCTTCAACTTTGGAAGGTTTTCTGTTCTAAGCTAAAGGTCGAACTTCTGCACTTGATAAAGAATGAAACGCTTTTTGTTAACAGTCGACACCTCCCACAAGGCTTTGGTCTGTACTACAAGTTAAGACTCGAGGGAAATGTTATTTAATGTGAACCTGAACCTCTATGAGGAATCCCACTGGTTCACAGACAGTAGTGGAACAGAGGCTTCCTAGGAAAGTCGGGCAGGACTTTGGCTCTCTGTTTAGCCTGACACACTTTTCTGTTGGACACATACTGAGTCAAAACTACAGTCTCTCTACAGTCAGTTTATACACGTATTTACAGAGTGAACCTGAAAGTCTTTCTTCCGATTAAAATCCAGCGTCTGGCTTGATGAACAGGGCAGAGAGGGCAAACGCCAGAAAAACAATCCCTCCAATGATTGTAACTATGGAAAGAAAAGAAGAAAATCAACTCAATTTCAGATCAACAACCACAAGCTTTCTTTTAAAATGTCAACTGAAAACATGTTAGAGGGTTTTCTATGGGGGCATTATTGAAGCAAAACTATTTGTCCATGCGTATGGAGAGTTGTCTGTCTGTATCTCAATCCGTTTGTCCGAAGTGAGATTTGTCAATGTGTAAAAGGAGTTGTCAATGTGAACCGGAATCTACAAAAGTCGTCTCACAATTTGTCTGTAATCAGGTTTTGAAATGTGTCTAAAATCTGCTCATCTGTATTCAAATTCAGACATGTAAAAAGAGTTCTCAATGTGTACAGAGGTATTCGTAGTTAAAAAGTCTACATATTCGAGTCGAGCGGCTTCCCCATTGGCTGTCTTTTTACACATGACTTTTGCTACACTTCTACCATGAGAGAATCTGACACTGAAGAGTATCTAAAAATCAGGGTTTCTGTGTCCTGAGCTCACAGGATCGCTCATCATGGCTGCTGCCGCTCTGCTTCTTCCCCTCGAGAAAGCTGAAGTTCCTAAAGCATCTGAGCCCACCACATTCTAAACAGAGAAAATGAATAATTAACACAATCTCACCTGTTCTGACAGATATTTTCTGGGCGATCATTCTCCCTCCTATAACAGCCAGTCCTGTACACAAACAGTGTCCGATCGTACCACCCACTGCAACTCCAAACGGATCCTGGGGAATAAAAAACAGCCTTTCATAATGATGCTGAATAAAACTGCACTACACTTTCCTAAATCTTAATTTATCAGCGTATTACCACCACTGTGGTCCAGCTCAGAATGACCAACAGTGGATTTTTTTTTTGCCTCTGAAGCCACTCAAAGTAAGAATTCAGATACATTACAAAATACACTAGAAGGCATAAAACAGAAATAAATGCAACAAACCTCCCGGGCAGCGAGAATGATGGTGGTCAGCTGCGAGCGGTCCCCCCACTCTGCGAGGAAGGTGAGGGTGAAAGCCTGGATGAAGATGGGTGAGATGAAGCTGTGCCACTTTCCCTGAGGCAGGGTAGTTCCTGATCCGGCCTCCACGTCTGGCGTCCCATTAGCGAGTTTAGACCGCTGGAGCTGCACAGTTATATCAATTCAGTTACTTTATAGGACACAATTTCAGCTGTGACAAGAGGTGTGATCAGTCATCTGGGATATTTCTGGGGTACATGGGCACTTCCATCAGTGTTTAGAATGGGCCATTACAAAGAAAAGATCCCCCTCAGGCAACTTTACTTTCATTCACAGTAGCTGTGGTTAAAATGCTCTTACTCCAATGCAACCTGGTGATGAAAAATGGCTTCAGCACAATTATAGATTCATGAATGTATTCATTTTGGATGGATTCAATTTCACATTTAAACATTCATGCTGACAGGTGAAATACATCTTTTCAGCTTTTCCTCCTTTCATGTGTAAGTCTCATATGATCTTCTTCTTAGTAGCAGCAGCAGTATGACAGAGCCTTCCCAGTCATACAGTAATGTGAGCCATATGTAAGTCAGTGAGAACTGGAAGACAAATGTAGCTACCAGTGAGAAACAGCACTCACTCTGAAGACTTTCTATGTGGTTGTTTATGTAAAGTATGTATACTTCGTCATACATAATGGCTTGTATTTGCCCCGAAGTTGTTCAACTGGATGTGTCAGAAATAACAACATATTTCTAAGTGCTATAATTAAAAATCGACTCACCTCCTCATCCTTCTTCTTGATCTCTGCCTGCACCTCCTCGAGCTCCTCCTGGCCTTCATCTGGACTCATTCTCAGCCCCTCTCTCAGCATGCGCACACCAAAGATGGCAAACAGTGCAGTGGACACATAGTATGTGTATATTCTCGGGATGATGGTGGTGGCGTAGCCAAACAGCACTAAGGAGGGAGGGGGAAGGCAATAATTACTCATTATTATTCTGCATACAACAGAGGACTTGCTCCAAATAATAATTAAGTGCAAAACCAAAATATCCACTTCTACAAACCAGAAAGGCAAGTCATGACGCCCAAGGCCAGCATAGCCCCTGCGAGCACGGTGAGGCGGTTGTACCGCATGGCCATGATGGCTGCGATGAAAAATGTCTTGTCTCCCAACTCGGAGACGATGATGACAGAGAAAGAGGCCACAAAGGCATGAATGAAACCCAGGTTTCCTTTGCTGCTGCCATCTTCAGAAACTACTGGGCCTATTGGATGGGGACTTGGGGCTTTCTGCAAAGAGAATCAACACAGAAGCACAAAATGTTATTTAGTGAGGTAATGCTGTAAATAATGATTATTTTCACTGTTGGTTAGTCTGATGATTGTTTTCTTGACTAATCAATAAGTTATTTGGCCTATTCGACATCTACAATGTCTTCCTTTAAAGAATGCAGAAAAATATATATTTAGAAACATATCAGAGAATGAAGACTTGATTTTCCTTATAACAATCACTCAAATTATTAAAATAACTGATTATAATTTCGACAGCTGACAATTGATGGATTAATAACTGCAGCTCTGAACATCATGACCCTAATTTAGAGATTAATTTTGTTTCCAAAGTTAAACAGAGGAAACAATAAGGCTGCGGCGAGTAACTGATTTGTCCTCAATCAGTTCGCAGGTAATATAATCATCGATTGAGTGGTTCTTTAAAAGGGAAAAACGCCACAATCCTGTGATTCCAGGTTCTTATTCCCTAGTTTCTTTCCTCTTCTCTGACAATAAAGTCATATATTTGGGTTGTGGACAAAACGAGACATTTGGGAAACACTGATGATTGTTTTTTTTTAGTTAAACAGACTCATTTCTGACAAGAGTCAACAGTGCATGTCGGCTTTAACTAGCTTAACACTGAGGCTAAATGCTTCAACAGCTGTCCTGAAAAGGTAAACAAAACTACATTATGTCAGTGTGACCTCTCTCGCGAACACCCCCGTCACTGTAACTTTACTTAAAATATTGACTTTGTTAACACCGTTAAGATATAAACGAGCAACTTCAGCCACTTCAGCTAACCCGGAACACTGTGAGCTATGCCTCCGTTAGCATGTGCTGCTAGCTCGGTAGTAGCCGGGAAGCGGCGGCAGCTCCGGCGTCAAACACCGTCTCCCACCGACGATAATAAAACATTTAGGTAACGACAACGGAATAAAGGCTTTTACCTCTTGTGGGGGCTGCTCTTGGACAGGTTTCGGCTCCTCTTGGATAGCAGCAACTCCGACCGACAACAACAACACGAGCGGAAACAAGACGCACATCACATTTCTATCGGCCCGTCCGTCTCCTCTGCCGACCAAGAGAGGCATTATTGCTTCCGAGACTCTGATCGAACGCGACTTTGGCGACAAATTCTCACTTCATATCATCGGCAACAAAACTGGCTAACTTCATATTAGCAGCATGAACAATTTGAGGGACTCCTCGGTGATACACGTCACGATCAGACCGACCGGGCCAACTCAGGGGGGAAGTTGCGATCCAACTGCCGCATCGAGGAACGAAGCTGACCGCTGATTGGACCGTAGGACGAGTTACGTATCCGGGTGGGCTGATGTAGGCAGTGTGCAGCTCAGTGATTGGTCAGTCTCAGTGTCGGTAACACTTCCATTCAAATATAGTTTACAATGACTTCAATGCCTGAAGACAGAGAAAAAAATAAAAGCTACCTAGTTATCATGAAACGACGTTTAAAAAGTAAATGTACATACTGCTAGGTTATTAAATAGTAAGTATCATGTTAATCTTAATAGTCTGTCGTGATTGTTTTAGAAAAAATATAAAAATACACGTGTTCTGTACTCTTGAATAGTTCATCCAAATTAGCTTTTTTGCCCAAAGTTTTAAATATAAACATATGCATCTATGTGATTCTAGGCTCTGTGTGTAATATTTAATTACACCAAAACAGATTTAATGTTGTAGTGATTGATCCGATAAGATATGCACATATTGCACATAGGCAATACTGACACTGCACAGGAAAACACTAACACTGCAAAGGAAAGTATTGATCGTACAGAGTTCCTCTATAGTTAGAATCATATTGATTTAGCACCCACTCTTCCATGTGTGCAAAGTATTGATATTGTACAGATTCTTGCAAATGTACAAAAAGGCCCTCCAACATTTAATAAAAACTGCACATAACATCTCTGGAGTGGCCTTCCCATCGCTGCAGGACATCTACACAGGTAGGGTCATCAGGAGAGTCCACAATATCATTAAAGACCACACACACCCACAGCACACACTCTTCATACCGCTGCCGTCAGGGAGGCGGTACAGGAGCGTGAAGTCAAGGACCACAAGACTGTCAAACAGTTTCTTTCCTCAGGTCATCAGACTCCTGAACAACCACAAAGAATGACTGATCACTGCTGTTCAATGTAAACAACATTCCAGTTCACATGTGTCACCAGGCACTGTGCACTTTAAATGTATGTATATCTGCTGCTACATCATCTCACTGACGCTGCTACTTGTAAATAGACAATACGCACCTTAGTTTGTCTCTTTTTATTATTTTGTATCTATTTATATTATTGTGTTTTTGTTTGTTTGTATATATATATATATATATTTATATTCTTTATTATGTATATGGGAGTGTGCAAATGAGACAATTTCATTGCCCATTGTTATCTGCTGTTTTTTATGCTGCACATGACAATAACTGTCTATCTATAACAATATTGCATTGTTCTTCTAAATGTAAACACTGATATTGCACCGATGTTTTCATGTCTATGTTTTATATGTTCACAAAATAATGAAAAAATTATTTGAAGCTTTATAAAATAGGATTTGACTTCCTGTCCTAAAAGTAGGTTGTACTGGTGGTGATTGTGTTTCTCATCAATAAACCTCCTAGTTGTAGATGTCAGAATCATCTTAAAAGTCTATTTCAAAGCTTCCCTTTATTCGAGGAGTTTTTGTAGTTTTATTTCAGCTGTTATTTCTTTTTACCCCTGTTTTTATTGGTATTGTTGATTTTACCTTACTGTACTTGTCCTTTAGCATCTCCTTTAGTATTACAGTTTTTCTTAGTTGCTTTGGTACATTTCTCAGATCAGAACTGAAATTCTCGAAACTACTTGTTCAATATTCACATCATTGTGTCACTTGCACACATCAAAAAAGCAGTTCATCATTTATTTGAACGAATTCTAAATGCTTTGGTACATCCATGCAAATAATTATGAGCAATTCTCTGCTGTTTCCAACATTATCAATTGCTTATGTCATGTTGATCAAAATGTATTATAATGGGTCTCTGTTGAACAGTCTCACCCCCCACAACATTTAGGCATTAGTTCATCGCATAAGTCTTTACATACAAAATGGTTGAACAAGTTGTCATAACATGTGGAGCATATTTCTATACAATTCCATTAGACTTTTTTCTAAATCTGTCCTGAATTTTTAAATTGCTCCCAGGTGAATCTTAACTTTCTCTAATGAAGGGAAATGTGTGTAGCCTTACATAGATCAACCAATGATCAACCAGTTTTCTGAAATAGCTCAAAGATGCATCTTGTGAACCATCAACTGGCAAGTATATAGTAAGATTGCACTGTCATTCCTACAGCACTGCATGTACAGTTTTCCCTAAGGAGACTGTCCTATGTTCACATTTCTACTTTTGTTTTTTTTGTTTTTTTCTTTGTGCTATGCAGTGCTGTCTTTTCCTTTCTGTATTGCAATGACATGGTCTGTCAACAAATTACAGTACAAACAGTAAAAGCGTGAATGTGAATCTAGTCCAGTCTCTTACAATAAATCTCCCACATAAACTAAAGTGTAACTCACCATTTCTATAATTGTCATGAAAACTTCAGCCATGGTTTACATCAGAACATCCCTCCAGAGTACACTGTTATATTGACATGACTAAACAATTTGACTGTCTTATCCGTACACATTGACACAAGGACTTGTCATTCTGATGGCAGACATGTTCATTGACACAGATGTTTACTTTTGAGAGATGAACTAAAGATTTTGAGCAAGTCACTGTCTTTTGCAGGTAATCCATGGAGTTTTGCTGTTTGTACAAACTGTTTTGAGAAATGCACTTACTGGTTTGCAAATGTCGAGGATGATTCGAGAAATGTACCAAAGCGACTGAGAAAAACTGTAATAAATACATGACGTCTATTATCGTGGCTTTTATTTGTATTTATGCAGCAGTAGGTAGTATTATGTATTTTAGAAAACATTGTTATCCTCCCTTCAAAATGTGTGTACCAAGTAGTTAGAAGATTTGGCTGTGTTCTGAGGCAATAAATGAATAAATGGCAATTTGGGGCTATTCATGAAACATTCGTTGGAACAAAGGTGCAGAGTTACATCTAAGCCATTTCAAGGCAAGAAGGGGTTATTTTCATCCAAATAAAAACTTCTAAATACTTAAATTTAATAACCTGAACTATGTGCTTTAAAAACTAACATCCCAATATTTGGGTTTTTCAAAAATAATGGCAGTGTTTATTACTTAAAACAATCGTGCAACCACTTCATTGGTTTAGAAATAAAACTTTTGTTGCACAAAATAAGCTAATATGCTTTGATAGAGACCAAACAAGAAAAACATTCAGTCAAAACCTCAATTTCTCTTTAACCTCAATCTCTTTTTATGCTTTGAAAGGTGCTTTTTTAAATAAAAAAAAACCCATTAAAGTTCAGTTACAACACAATAATTCCATATACAATAATAATAAACAACATTAAAGCATTTTGTTATAGCAAAAGCAAGTTCACCCTGTAACAAACAAGTTCATGTGGGTGATGTTCCTCATAGTACCTTCACATCAGTCTGTCAGAAACAGCTCTCATATCACCTGTAAAGACTTCCTCCAGAATTCACATTCACACTTGCACAGCCAGAGCTGCCCTGTTCGCCTCTGAGCAGCTGTTTGGTTGAGAGGAGCTGTCAAAGAGGTGGCTTTCACTCCTACACCTTCAGCTCCTCAGACATCTATGGACATGGTGGGACTTTACCATGACAGACAGTGACACCAGAGCATTCAGAGCACGAAAGGTATAAATGCTCTTCTATGTCTTGGGTATGAATCATATTTGCTGATGTAAAGGTCATGACAAAGCTGTCCTGCCAGTGCCTGGTTAAAGAGCACATAAAGGACCACAAGCCACCAGGTCAAAGAGACACCGCTGAAGACAAAGCTCAGTGAGACGTAGATCAGCAGCTCAGCAAAGTAATGTGGGCATGAAACCAGCTCGAAGCCGCCTCCGTTTGGAACTCTGTGAGCAAACGTCTCCACTGTTCCTGCAACATGTAACAAAAGACAACAAAAGAAACATCAGAAACTCTCCAATTAGCCACTAGTGTCACGTTAAAGCTGCACTAATCAATATGTTCATACTAACAATGGGTCAAATCAGTACGAGTGATGTGATGTAACTTGTGATAAAACCACAGAGTTATCACTCAACTGTGTAGTTCCACTCAGATCTATGTGGCTTGTTTTTTGTTTTTTTTGCCTCTTTGAGTTCATTGTTTGAGCAACTCAACTCCACTCTTATCATCCTTACTTCCAGTTTGAGCCCAAATCTCCGATAAACTAACTTTGTGCTACTTGATAAACACACAGACAGCAGTCAGACAAAGTGAACATAGTATAATACTTAGTGCAGCTAAATAGCCAGTTGCTTTTCTGAGGATTTGTAGAGACCACAACAACAACAACCAAATAAACCCTAATTTTGCTTTGTGTGCTTTGTAGATTGCCACTCTCTAACATGTTCACAGTGACAGCTGAATAAAAGCATAACTGTTGTATTTTCAGCTTGTTCTGCTCCAAAAATGGTGAAAAAAGCAGCTTTAATATGCGTTTGCGCATAATTGTGAATATTATGCCTCTAGATTAGTCCAAGTTATTAACCAGGTTTTGCCCCTCAACAATACCACAAGTTTGACAACAATAAAAGCACTAATATGATGCCCATCGTCATGGATTTCCTATCAAAATCAGATTTCCAGTCTCTGCAGTTTGTTATGTGTAGCTTATATCCTGAATAAATGGAAACTTGTGATAGTACTAGTGCACCTGCAGAATCTAACAGGTAAAACAAGCAGAGACAAATGTGTGTGCTTACCCGACTTTCCAGTGCGAAGCCCGGCCAGCAGGACCATAGAGTGATGCTGCAGCAATGAGGCCCCAGTGAAAAGCAGAAATCCAGCTACATGAAGCCAGTCCAGCTGAGAGACGAGGGCACCAGTCCCTACAAAGAGCAGTAATACAAAACAGGATCATCCATCCATCAGTTAGACATCGCTTAATCCTCACTAGGGTCGCTGGATTCTATGCCAGCTTACTCAGGGCAAAGGCAAGTAGCCAGTCTATCACAGGGCTACACAGAGAGACAAACTAGCACACTCACATTCACACCTACGGACAATTTAGAATCACCAATTAACCTCAACATGTTGTTGGACTGTGTGGGAGGAAGCCGGAGAACCTGGAGAGAACCCACGCTGCACAGAGTAAACATGCAAACTCCACATAGAAAGTTCTAAATATAGAGAGGGCTAATCTCATTCTAACCTTTTCCCATGCGATCCGAGCAGAGCACCGTCAACCCCAGAATGACGTAATACCCCAAACCGAACACATACTGCACCAAATGCATGGCTCCGTCAGAGAAAACGCTGACAAACAGGCACTCCAGCAGCCTCCTGAGGGAGTGGACACAGAGCAGCAGCTGCACCAGCAGAGTGGACAGCTGTGGGACTGCAAACAGGACCAACATCAAACACTAGAATCAATCAAACACACATGTGAATGGAGGGTTTGTCAGCATACCTTGGCTGTCGGCGCTGGGCACACCTGTCAAAACGTCTAATATCCAAATCAGCCATGATGGATATGACTGATGCTGATAGATGAAGTTAAGGTACAAGAGGAGAAGAAAACCATTCCAGCCGACAGAGACGGCGTAGAAGTGCCAGAACCACCTGAAAGGAGAAACAAGAGGCTTTTGAACTAAATCTGCCTTAACGTAGCTACGCTGATGACACACAGAAATACATTGACCTCTCATCTGATGACACTAGCCCTTTGTATTCTCTGCAACCTTTCCAGTGTAGGGAAGCTACTGAAAGACCTGTTTGTACTCTTGTTTCTGGCAGACTTATGAAGCTGTTTTCTAGCTTCCCAAAAAAATCCTAAAACAAACGACTGATGACCCAGAAATGTAACAGCACCACATATTCTCACCGAAACTAAATGCAGAGAACACATTACCGCAGCTAAAGACTTTTATTGACTCATCTTCATTTTAAAATTCTATTTAAGATTTTGCTTTTAATTTTTAAGTCTCTACATAAACTAATCCTTGGCAATTTATCAGGTTCGCTGTTTGGATACAGCCCGTCTAGGTTCTCTAACTTTGGTCTAA